AACCAGATTGAAAAGAAATTACTCTTGAAGTACAATAAGTTAATATAGCAACACCTTGACCACTAAACAAAAAAAAAAAAAAAAATCCACCTAGATCATATTGTTGTTAGGGGCTTTTGTCTGTTTGGACTGATTCACACATATATTAGCAAAAGAGAATACAGAAATCCCTAGAACTTTCAGAGGATATCGAAAGCGAAAGTGATTAATGGAAACAGAGATACTCCCAGGGATGGGAGAAGAATTTACCCCTGACAAACTTTGCTGCAGGGGTCTCTGTTCCCGAAGTTAGGGGGGGCCAAGACGAGACAGGAAACCCCATTCTCGGCCGTTGCCTTCCCAAGACCGTAGGCATTTATTTTAGAAAAGATTGACAATCAAACGATCATGAGAATGGTACCCAAAATACTACTGTTGTTACGAACAAAGGGATTCTGCTGAATCACAAAAGACAACAAGAAACTGTCATTTTCTGTCTCACTGTGGATGGCATTTCCTAGTTTCTTCCTGCTTGCACTGCTTGTGCTGATGCGATTAATTGAGCCATGACGTAGGCATATTGAACAGCTGTGTGTTGTGGGGTATAATGGTCTCCAAGGCCATACTCCGAGAAGTTTGGTTCTAAATGCATAAAATAACCTGGCAATGATCTTTTAGAGACAGCATCTTTCCAAATATCAACAAACTCTTCCATGACTTGCCTTGATTTGTCCATAGAAGAAATTGGAAGATACTCCACCTGCAAGTTATTATCATGTTCCAAACTCAATCAAATTATAAAGGAATATACTGTTTGCTGATGAAAAATAAGATTCTCCAAGTTTATGAAAAGGATTTAAAATTCAATAACTTTCAAAATGGATGATTCACTGAAGGCAACCATAAAATGTTATGCGTGTAGGGTTATCCTCAGAGGTAATGGTGTATGAAAGGAGGTGAAGGGAATAATAAAGGCAAAACCATAATATAAACCCCTAAACTAACCCCAGATTCACTATTAAGCCCTCAGACTTTAATTGATGCATATAGGCCCTGGACTCTACAATTTGAACAATTTAGCCCTTAATTCTTTAACTACGGTAAGAATAAGGGCTAAATTACTGTAAGAATTAGGGTTAAATTGCTCAGATGGTAGAGTTTAGGTGCTTATATGTATTAATTAAAGTTTGAGGGCTTAATAGAGAATCTGAGGTTAGTTGAGGTTAGTTCAGGGGCTTAACATATGGTTTTGCCAATAATAAACTGAAAACAAGCAATCATAAAATAGAAAGGAAAAAAGGACATGCTGGATGCTACATCAAATAGCTCATTTTTCTTCTTTCCTGAAATAACTCAATGAAAAAAGAATTAACTTCAATTCACTAGGATTCAGGGTGCAATAATAAATGCAAAATTGCTATCATCAGAACCTATATACGGTTAATGGTGGCGGATTTTAATTAAGAGTCAACATCAACTTTGATCAAATGTCTGCAGTGAAGGACTATAAGTTGTTCAGAAGACCCAAATTTCAATTGAGGGATTACCTTTGCAAAACAAAAATGTTCCTCATAGCATGAAAAGAACTGCCAATTTAATAGATTTTATAAAAAAAAGTGACCATATATGGTAAGAGGCATCATTACAAATGTCCTTGTGTATAAAAAAATTACTGCAAACTCAACAGACATACAAGGAATTAAAGGTAAAGCAAGGAGGAAGGAACTGAAATGCATTAAGAACACACAAATAATGTTAAAACTTAAAAAGTAAGCAGTTTTCTTGGAAAAAGTGATGTATATCAGTTTCCTGTTCTAGTCTATAGATCCTGGAAGAGATTACCATGACTTAGTTGGGAAACTAAGACAATACTGCTGATTTGCTGATCAGGAAAAAAAAAAAATGCACTCCCTAACTTCCCAATTCTATTTAACTTCTTTTTCTTCTTACAAGAGAAAAGGAAAAGAAGGCTTTTATGTCATCTTTTTCAAAATTAATTTAATTCTTTTCTTGGGCTAAGTGTGATATAGCTTCATTCTAAGTGGTGGTCCTTCAAAGCATGCATGAGACTTAAGGCTGGCTAGCTTTGACTTTAAGTATGACTCATGAAAGTTCTTCATGATAGGAAGGTACAACTCCGTTAGAATGTTGCTTAGTTTGGAGTGATGTGTTGATGCATTTTGGTATAAGGTTAATTCCTCAGGGATGGAATACCGAGTGGTTATGGATTAGGAGATTTTCTAAGGGCCAGAGTAGAAAGACTAACGATATTTGACTGTTGTATATCGTAGATGGAAGGAATGAAATAATAAGGTGTTTAAACAAGAAAGTAAAGCACCTGACATGGTTACCAAATTAATTTTACCATTGATGGCTTTTGACAGCTGCTTAATTCTGCTTTATTTAGGCCAGGATTACTGCACAATTACCCAGTTTTGGGATTTTCAAATGAAAAGTATTTACCATTCTCCTAAAAAAACATGCAAACAAGAAATTTAATCAACCCATGAATTCAAAATAATCATGATGATCATATAAGGGATTTTATTCAACTAGCAATATCACATTAGAATCTAGATGAGATTGAACAAATTGCTGCATAATATAATGAAGTGATCAGATTGTTTGGCAGAAAAAAGAAAAAGACTAACTAAGCATGGAAATAACAGTTACAGGAAGAAGAATACTACTGCAATAGAAGAATGGAACAATAAAAAACATAATAACATGCATTCACTACCTCCATAACTATTCCTCTCAGATTTTCAGAATGAGTGGGCACAACTTTTCCCACTCTCAATTGGAAATCTCCAAGTTGGTACTGAAAACCCTGCACCAATCATAAGAAAACATATTGAACCAACCAATAACCCAGGAAAGTCTCTAAGTTTGTCATCTCCTCGGGGAGAAAAAAAATGATCAGTTATGGACTTCAAGATTATACGACTCATACCTCAAAATTAAGAGCGACCCTCGATTTATAAGACTGCAACTTCTCCATTATCATCTGAATGGACGAATCTGCCTCCAGAACAAGCCTCTGAACCCGGATTATGAAATAATACTTGTTTGGCTGCTCAGGGAGCGACATGCCAATAAAATCACGCGGAAACTCAGAAGCTGAAGACTGGTCTGAAGGGTAGTTCAATTCCAGACATGAAATTAGAATACAAAACACCCAGATAAAGCACTTGAATAGAAAATTCAGGGAAAATCACCCAGAATTATAATTAAATGACCTCGTATCACGGGTCTGTAGTAGGTTAGAGTGGCTTTCCATCTCCCTTCCTTGACGCCATTGATGCTTTCGACGCACTGTGAAACCTCGTTCAGGATTTGGCTGTTTACGGTTGAGCCCGCGTTGGGTTGCCAATGCAAAACCCTAGAAATGAAAATAAATCAAGATATTAACACGAAAATTTTCCAACAAGCGAAAGTTACTAGGCCAAATCGGAGGCGCAAATTCATGATTTCCGGTTTAGATAGAGCTGCTTCAGTCTTCACCATTTCAGCGGCATAGTCTTGTCTGGCGATGGACAGAATGAAGCGAATTGGCGGCGGACTGAGGAGACTCCGATCACTGAACCAAAACGAAGTAACGAAACAAAATGCAAGAAAAGAACTGGGATTTGCAAATTGAGAGCTATACGGTGTCGTTTCGTTGACCCCGTCATAAAATTTCTGGTAAACCCCCAATAAACACCAAATTACTCTTCATCATCAATATAGGGTAAATACATTTTTATGCCCACAGCCTTTAAAACTTCTATTAGTTTTGCATCCAATCTTCCTTTTCTACCAAATTATATCCCTAAATATGAGACATCGTTAAAATAAACCTCAAAGGTTCTATTTGGTTTGGAGGAAGTTTTTCTCAGCAAAAGATTTGTGTAAACTTGTTACCCTTTCCTCATAGTACCTTGTTATTTATATGAGAAAGTATATCTTATTTCTTTTGATGGCATACTTGGTTAATGCCTTTAGACTAATGTTTCTGTTTGGGCAGCTTCGTAATCCAACACTGTTGAAGTCCACAACTGCTTCCACACCTGAAAATCCCAAGGTTGTTTCCTCGGGGAAAACACTCAAACGCTCAAGTCAGCAATACTCGGAGTTCTAGAGAGAAATGCTCTCAAAGAGTAATTGCAGGGAGAGAAGCGTAGAGATTAATTACCTTCATTGTTGGTGGTTGGGGGTATTTATACCCCCAAATGCTGACATGCATCACTATATGTAAGTAATTCATTGGCCCACGTGGTGTTGCTCACGTGGGTATGTCTCCTCCTCTTGGGTCTGTGTGTGCATGGTTGGGCCTGTCATATGTGGCCCGAAGTGATCGTTGGGCCTGATCCCAACATTACTCCCCCCTCAGCGTTCGGTTGACGAACTGGATGGGAGTTTTGTTAGTATGGTGCCTGGCCCTAAAGATGAGGAGGGATACTTTGCGTTCATGAATGACCTCAAGTATGGACGGCCTGACCGACTTGAAGGCATCGTGCCTGGCCAGATGTGTCAGTGTATGCCGACTTTATTCCGAGCAGGCGTGAGGAGTTGGTTTTACGACCGGTCAAGTTCGGTGCTACTCAGAGGGTCGAGCAGCCGTGCCAGAGTGACCTTGCATGAGGAATTCCCTGTGGCGGAGCTGAGGCGAGCAGATAGTGAATGAGCTGAACGCACCGACCCTAGACGGGCAGAGAATGGCGACCACACTCGTCACTTCGATATAGGTCTCTGGGATACAGAGCAGCTTTGAGGAAGTTGGTTATAATCTAACGCTTGACGCCCGAACCTGAGGTGAATCCGTGATTTGTGCGACCTGATCTCCAGAGGTTTTATGAATTTAGTGACGAGCTGATTTCTCGAAATTTTCAAGTTTTGAATTTTGGCAGATCCGTGAGGAGATCGCGGATTTGTTACGAGCTGGGCCCTTGGATTTTTCAAATTTTGAACTGTGGCGAATCTCTGAGGAGATTTGCCTAGGTCCCGAACTTGTTACGAGCTGATCATTGCAGTTTGTCGCGATCTGATCCTTCGAATTTTTCAACAACTTGTTACGAGCTGGGCCCTTGGATTTTTCAAATTTTGAACTGTAGCGAATCTTTGAGGAGATTTGCTCAGGGCGTTTGGTATTCTTCTGATTTTAGCAGATGCCCTTTTGCCTCCCCACAATAAATGCTGGCTCAGCATTTGAGGGGACGTGACAGCTGCAAACGGTGCGTTTTGAGTTTTTGCCCATAAATGGCTGCCACGTGAACGCGTTTAACTGGGGGGTCATAACACGCGTACGAAAATTACAGAGCACTATCTGAAGGAGAAAAACAAAAGGGAATTTCTGTTTCATTGCTCAGTACGTTAACATTTTCCTCAGCAACAGTTGCAGAGACACTCCAGAGTGTTCCTCAGAATTTTCAGTGGAAGGACATTCGACTTCCCTTATTCAGGTAAAAATGACTTCTTTACACGATGCACAAGGATTTTGGGGTAACCAAGGTGAAGACGAGGGCGTAGACGCGATATCTGTGGAGCCTATCACCACGTGGTGTTGCTCACGTGGGTATATCTCCTCCTCTTGGGTCTGTGTGTGCATGGTTGGGCCTGCCATATGTGGCCCGAAGTGATCGTTGGGCCTGATCCCAACAGTTTCCATAATCTATTTCTAGTTATTACCCTATATTTTGCTTTTTAGATTCGCCAACATCAACACACCTTTGGTCTCTTCTACTTTTTTCTCATTCACCTCAAACCAAACATGTTTTAGGGCTTTTTCGATAGAGCTTAAAAACAAGCCTATAAATTTTTAAGAATTATTTTCTAAATTTTGTTTTTAAACTTCACTTTGATGTACTTTTTATGTTCATGAACAATTTTTTACATTTTTTTTCTCTTTACTTGATAATATAATATTTTTTTTTGTCCTTCAACAATTTTATAACCTTTTTGGTCCTTTCATTCGATAACATACACTATTGTTGTCATTCATCAATAGAAGTGTATTTGAATTATTAAGTTAATTAATAAAATTCATTTTCTTCAAAATTTTAAGAAAAAGATGAGAGGACTATGATGATTTGCTATTGTTGAGATCCCACTGCAAGAAGAATAGATAGAGAAATGAGAACAGGAGAGAGAATGAAGGGGAAGGAAGATCATAAGTTTTTTTTTTTTTTCTTCTTTTATCTATCTAAGTAATTTTATACACATGAAAAGAAAGATCCCACTAAGCATGTACATGTCTAAAAATTTGTTTAAAATTTATTTTTTTATTGAATTAACAGATCATGTAAACTTCCATTGAGGAAAGGACCAAAAAAAGGTGCACATTAACCATAAAAAAAAAAAGAAAAAAAAAGAAGGTGGACGTTATATAGAAAATCGCAGAAAATTGTTCAAGGACCAAAATAGGACATTAGTGAAAAGTTCAGGGACCCAAATAGTATTAAACCTTAGACTTTTTAAAATGTTCCAATTTGCCAACTCCTTCAAATAAAAGGAAAAACACAGAGAAACAGAACTATAGAAGTAGTGAAATAGCACTACGTTTACAGGATCTCTCTGTTAGCTCCCGCATTCATTCACTAAATCCGGCGGACTTGCTTCCTCTCCTCTCCTCGTTCTGTAAGTACCAGAGACCAAAGAAAGCTAGCACTAGGGTTTATCTAGGGTAATTTCCTCCGTTCGTGCAGAGCCAGCAATGGCGAGCGTGTATATTCCGGTGCAGAACTCGGAAGAGGAAGTGAGAGTGGCTCTGGATCAGCTTCCCAGGGACGCCTCTGATATACTCGATATCCTTAAAGCCGAGCAAGCCCCTCTCGATCTCTGGCTCATTATCGCGGTTGGTGCCATCTTCCCCCCCCCTCCCCCCCCCCCGCCTATTTTTTTTGAATTGCTTCAGTTCTGGTTTGTGATTAATTACTTTCTTCCTTATGCTCGGTTTGAAGTCATGTTACTACTGCTTCTGTTTCATTGTTATATTTTCTGCTTTCTTTCGCGTATCCTTTGCAGGCATATGGGAATGTGAATTTTAAGCGCTGGGCACAATTTCCTGAGCCTGCCTTTTCTGTTAGTTCTGATTCTGATGTGCGGATTTTGTCTGTTTATCATGCAGAGGGAGTACTTTAAGCAGGGTAAAGTTGAACAATTCCGTCAAATTTTAGAAGAAGGATCCAGTCCTGGTACTTCCACATTTCCTTGCCAATGCCCTTTTGCTTACTTATTATCTTTAATGATTTTATGATATTGTGCTACTGGTATCTGTTCATGATCGTCCTGTGTTTTTACTTTAATCCTATTAGCTGCTTGCTATTTTTTGCATTATCTAATCTTAGCATTCTCCTTCTGCAGAAATTGATGAATACTATGCTGATGTTAGATATGAGAGAATTGCTATCCTAAATGCTTTGGGGGCCTATTACAGCTACCTTGGGAAAATTGAAACGAAACAAAGAGAGAAGGAGGATTATTTTATTTTAGCAACACAATATTATAATAAAGCATCAAGAATTGACATGCATGAACCCTCAACATGGGTTGGGAAAGGTGAAATTTGTTCAGTCTCGTCATGATGCTTTGTGTCTAATTAAAGTGCCCATTGCATGTTAGATTATGCAATCAGGCACAAATTGATCATTATAATTCCATGGTACCCTTTTTTTTTTCTTTTTTTTTTTTTTTAACCTTTGGAGAACTTTTCCTGCTTTTACCTCTTGAGACTAGCTAATGACTGCTTTGATTCATGTATAATCATAAAACCTACTAGTCAGTAATCAGTCCTAGCTACGTTTCTCAATGTTACAATAGTGACTCTGTTACTATGATTGTCTGCCACAATTTCTTCTGGGCAGAAACTCAAAACTATTCGGTGACAACATTATGGTTTCTTGAATGAGTGATCATGCACTGTGCAAAATTCTCTTGTAAAATTTATGTTCCTATTGTCTAGATGACTCTTGTTGGCAATGTCATTGCTTTCGGATTAAAGGTATTAAGAGATGCCTACTTTTTACAGGTCAGCTTCTACTGGCCAAAGGTGAAGTTGAACAGGCATTTGCTGCATTTAAGATTGTGTTAGAAGGAGATCGAGATAATGTTCCTGCTCTTCTTGGTCAGGTATATTGAACAATGGACTTTTCCTTGATAAAACAATTAGGTTAACAGTTGGACACTGCAGATTTGAGATTATTTTTGTGTATAATTTTACCAAATATGTGAGTGTAACCTGTTGTTCACTCTAAGTTTCCGGGATAGTAGCATCATGCTGGTCCATGGTGACTGTAGTTGGTCCCTTGAGAGTGATTGTTATCAACCATAGCAACTTTTTCAACATCACTCCTCTCAAATTGAGTCTATGTTTGGTTAGCAGTTTCTGGGGGAAACTGCTGCCCACAGAAACTGCTGGATGGTGTATAGTCAACCAAAGTCAGCACTTTCTTGGGAAGTTTTCCTTCAAGGAAAGTCTAGTCTTGATCATTTTTGGGTCAGTAATGCAGCAACAGGAGTCTTTCGAAGTATTGGACAGGACTCCTCCCAGGTTCACTATTTTATTGTCTTAAGTGCAAATTATGAAATGGGGCAGAGTTGCATAATCTGATCAAGAAGCCAATAATGACATCATGGGGGCTTACATTATCTATAGATTTTTAATCTAAACATCTTTTCTATTAAAAAAATAATCTAAATGTCTTCTGATTGTAGAAATACATTTAATCATATGTCCTGAATATATCTAATTCATTTGATAGATTACCATGCCCTGGGGATAATAACTGCATAAATGAATAGGAAACAACCCAAGATTTTCTGAAAGAATGACAAGTCAGCAGGAATGGCCTTTAGAGACAATTAGGTGATGATTTAATATGTTTTATGAGCAGGTTTATTTCCTTTTTAAATAACTTTCTAGGCATTTTGTACAGGCATGTGTTGAGTTCAATCGTGGACGTTGTTCTGATTCGTTGGAGTTATATAAGGTGTGTTTTTTCATCTTGTTATGTGTAGATTTGTAGTGTCTCATGCCTCAATCAGAGGCATTTGTATCATGGATATGAAGTGGTAGAGGTTTGTGACAAGTCCTCTACTGATACAAGTTTAATAACTTTGTTTGTATGACTTTTTCAGAGGGCCTTGCAAGTTTATCCTGATTGTCCTGGAGCTGTAAGACTTGGTATTGGTCTCTGTCGATATAAACTGGGTCAATTTGAGAAAGCTCGGATTGCATTTCAGCGGGTTTTGCAGGCAAGTGCTATTAACTTGTATATATATATATATATATATGTTGAAATGATCTCTTGGTTCTCTCAAGATGTTAGTATTTGAAATTATAGTAATTCAACTGTTTTATTCATCATTGCATTTAAATAAAGTTTATTCCTGATGTTCTTCTGTATGTGGTTCACAATTTTTCATATGCAGTTAGACCCAGAAAATGTTGAAGCTCTTGTTGCTCTGGCAATTATAGATTTGCAAGCAAATGATGGTATGCCTTTTGTGTGTGTGGATATTCCTTATGTTTTGTAACTTATATGTCAGTTTATTCCAATTTCTTGTTTTAGTAGTCTGATCATATTTATGTATTTTATCTCTGCAGCTGCTGGTATTATGAGGGGAATGGACAAAATGCGGAAAGCTTTTGATATATACCCCTATTGTGCAATGGCATTAAATTATTTAGCAAATCACTTTTTCTTCACTGGTCAACACTTTCTAGTTGAACAACTAACTGAGACAGCTCTTGCTGTCACCAATCATGGACCAACAAAGTCGC